CCTCTTTGATACATTTCTGCTTCCATTCTGGGCTCAAAATGAAAAACCATAAGAAATATTCAGACATTGTTGCTTTGCAGACAGAACTCCAGAGTTGGCATTAAAATAATATTAGAAATGGAGTCATAGCTGTCATTTAATTTAAACAAATTACACCTAAAAATATATTTAATCAGGGAGAAACCTCCCCTACAAAAGGAGGGCATATCTAGGTAGCCAGTTCATACTTTTGAGAAAAGGCTATTCAGCTTCTGAGATGTGTGTTCTAGAGGAAATAAAGGAAATGTTTATCATCAAATATTTATTTCTATTAAAAAAGGAGAAGAAGAGTATTTTGAAGGAATTCCTACCCTGGATGCCCTTAGTACCAAGGAGCTCTATAACCAGATTGGAAGATAAAGAAATTAAATGTCAAAAATGTGGTATTTTGAAAAGTACCTTAATTTAGGAAACTCTGGCAAAGGTCTCATTATTTTTCTAAACTAGGTATAATTAGATACATTGCTCCCTCCCCACCAATTTAGGAGAAATAAAAGGAAATTAAGTTTTTTCTTACACTTCCCTTTCTCAGGTAAAGCATCCAAAGTTAATAAGAGAATCATCTGAAAAGGATATATTATTCAATAATAAAAAAATTGGATTCTGATTCCTAAGTTAATTTTCTTCATGCAATTTAGATGCCTATAGACAGATGCCTTGTTTATGATATATTCATAAAGGGTAGCATAGATGATTTAATTTATATTTATACTAATTAGCAGGATTGTCAATGTACTGCATGAGAACAAGCAATAAACCCTAGCCCTTCTTTGCCATCTCATGATATCTGAGGGTTAAAAAATAATAAAAAGTACCTGTTTCAAGAAGATCTACCCCAGACTTACTGGTTCTCAATTTAAAAGAATATTAGTACTGCAGACTCCATGCTCAGGGTCTCCCAGCACTTCTCTCCTTGTACTGACCTGAGGCCGTCATTTGGGCTAAGAAGAGCAGGTACACAGAGGTAGCATCCAACTGCAGGTGTCCCCATTGATCATCACCCACTACAGTGGCACAGGTTTTGGTGTTGTACTTGGCATGGAGGCTATCCTTAGTACTCTGACTATGTTTGAAGGATTCTACTTTATCCACCTGAAAAGAACAACAACATTAAAAGAAGGATATACTGAAAAATCAACCCATATGCCATACTTCTGTAGTACTCTAACATACATTATTGCAATGTGAAGATACATTATCTTCAGGCAATTGTAAATATTTAAAATACACTGTTACCTCTTTTTCCCTACACTAGTACAACTGGAAAGTCTGTTATTGTTGTTTTTCAATTCAGTGATTTAATTAGAAAATAATATCAAATAGTAAAAAATAGCTCTTTTCTATTCATTGCCTCTTGTTCACTCTTCATATGGTTGCTTTGCCACACTGTAGATATAAACTGAGATTCAGAGTGCTTGAGTGAGAACAGCTGAGTAAAAGATAACTGAGTGTGACAAGATGCATTTGTTCCTGAAACTGAGGTAGAAATTTCGAAGGAAATTAGAATAAGAGAATATATTTTGAAGGAGTAATGAAAAAAGCTGCTGAGAGAGGGACAGAGAGATGGAGTAATAGTATGACAGTGTGAAAGGAAAAAATCTTGGGCCACTTCAAGCTGGAAACAGCTCAGGGCAAATCTGCCTAGCATTCTATTCAAAGTCATCCTTCTGCTCACAGATAGATGCATATTCTGATTGCCTTCTTTGGGAAGACTTATCAGAAAC